CGCCTACGTTGCTTCGAAAATTCCAAAGGGATTCGGGGTCGGCCCCTGAACGCAAAATATTTAACCTGGTGACCTCGAAGACATGCCCTTTTCCCTCTTAATTCCATTAATGATAAGCAATAGACGACAAGAGCAAACAGGTTGGAATGCGGTTTGTCTACGTAATCGGCTCTTCTCTTCATCATTATGCTAATACGCGGAGCAGATGGGACCTTTTTTAGGGCTCATTTTTTCTCCCTCGACGGGGATATTCCCTAATTGACTCCTATGTCTCCACCGAGTGCTCGTTTCGAGGAGAAAGAGTCTTTTGGGTAATTTCGTTTTTTTTTTTTGCGGTTACGCTGGCGACAGAAAAAAGCTTTTTCGACGAAAACTTTCTTCGAGCGATAAATATCCCTCGGACCTTTTCGTGCCGATTCCCGGTCGACTCGGTCCTCGAGGTCGGCAAAAGCGTCGTATGCGTCCCGACGAACCACGGGCTCATTCGTGGCATTCGGCAATTAAAGGAATACGTAATTAAAGTATCGAATGAAGTAGAGGAAAGGGAACATACCAAGATAAATACGAGTTGGAAGCATATGTAATGTTTAAAATTTAGCGAATTAGCATGACGCATGCCAGTACGGACGCATATTGATGGCCCGAAATGATGGGGGAAAGGGCTCGTGGTGGTTTTCAAGGGCGATCCGTCTCGAGAAATGAAGGTATGAGCCTGGGAAAAGCAAATATCTCATCAAGACGAGAGAGGGGGGAAAAAGGAGATGAGAGGAAAAAGACCCCGCTCTGTTTATTCACAGAGGGGTCAGTCTGCAGGCTAAGTAGCCTTCCCCTTCTAATTATCCGCGTTTTCCGCCGTGTGCGTCGGGTGCGTCGGTCTGTTCGGTCGGTTCGGTCTGCCTCATCCCAAATTTCCCCGGCCCGCATTCGTCTTCTTCCTCGTCGATGAGTAATGCCCGCGATAGACATCGGGGTATCTCATTTTCGTGACGCGACGAGCGAGTCGGTTTAAAAAAGAGGGAGCGAGACAAAGACCCCCTTCTCCTTAACCCTTATCGGGAGCGTGATCCTCCGTCGGACCGGCTTCTGGGAAACCCAAGTAAACCCTCTCCGCCCACCGACGCGTTCTGGCCCCGCCGCGGTCGTGACAGCTGCATCGGTCACCCGAGTCGGATCCGAATCTTGCTCGCGGATTCTCGGTCGGACGTGCCGAATGGAAGTAAATGGGGAATGACAAGTTTTATGTCGCATGTGTGAGTGAGGAAGTTCGTTTTCCTTGCGACAAATTGATTCGTCCTCGCACTTGTCATGCAACTTGGAGAGTGCTCCGCCGAATTGCCGGTTTAGCGTATTCCATAGGCCTTGAAGAATAAACAAGAAACAATTGAGTTTATTGCCCTTTTGGGACTCCCTGACGTGAAGAAAAAAAAAAAGAAATCTAATAGCGGTAATAAAGGAGGCTGACGACAGTGACAGGAGGGGGCAGGGCGTATCGGGCAGCAAGCCAATGGGAATCGAGAGCGGCGCCGGCACGGCGAACGAGCATCTCTGCCAGACCAGGTCCCCACTCGCATCCCCTGTCAGCTTCAGTCAGCCCTGAGCGTTACTTGGATGTGCGTTGCGCTCGTCGTTGTTACTTTCTCGCCCGTCGTAAAAGATGCGCGCCTGGATCTTGGTGTTCGTGTGGCTACGCCTCTTCCACGGAATCCATGGATCCGTCAGCACGAGCACAGTGAAACCCGAGGGAGAGGAGCCGGCTGCGAGCAGCAACGACGTCTTGCATAAACGGGATCACCAGCACCATAAACACCACGTGTCGAAATTGCGCCAGATATTTTACTCTCGCGCTTCTGGTTAGCATATGTTCTTATTCCGATCCTGTTGCATTGGTGTAAGATCGCTCTCGTTCGAATCATTCCTCGGATGGCCATGTATGCCTGCCGGCACAATGTCTAGCGCTATCACGAGGACCATTCAGGTGGAGAGAAGAGCCGATTACGTAGACAAACCGCATTCCAACCTGTTTGCTCTTGTCGTCGTGGAAGCCCCCAGATTAGATAGTACTTGCGACTGGCGGGACCGGAAGGACCCCCCCCTTTTATTACGAGTTAAGAGGGAATGATGTGCCATCCGGGAGAAGAAATGTGATGGGAGAGGGGTGGACGGTGAACGTTATCGTGGCAGGGCATCGAATTCCACCAGGCCAACGGGGGTTTTTATCTCTCATCCGCTTGATTTGAAGCCTTGTGTCTGTCAAGCCCTGGGTCTTCTTCCCTCCCTCCCTCCCGTTATCATTAGACCTCCTTTAGACAAACAACGCTCCGAGTTCTCCGATTGCAAAGCCCTTTCTTCCCTCCCCTCCCCCTTTCCACGGACCACGTCATCCCTTAACATGGCTCCGGAATTCCATTAGTCTCTGGGTGTTCTGCGTTACTTCGAGTGCACCTCATCCTAATGGCACGAATGTTCTCCTTTGCAGAGATTCGGTGTTTTTGCAACCTGCCCCAATGTGCGTCCAGCTACATGTGCAAGTCCCCGTTGGGTCACTGCTTCACCGAGGTGATCGACGTGGAAAAACCAGAAAAGACTCGTCATGGATGCGTGGAAATGTTGGAGGAGTACGTCCCCTTCACGCTAAAATCCAGTTTCCTTATCACAAGTACGTGGTCATATTTTCAAAACATGTCATGGTTACAGGGCTGAGATGGAGCCATGCCTATTGGCCGGAGACAAGGACGATCCGAACTTGTTGGTGAAGTGCTGTCGTGAGGATCTGTGCAACTATGTCCACATGGACATGGTCCTCCAGATGAAGACCAAGCCCGAGCAGGGACCAGGTAAAAAAAATGAGTTCCTCTATTCCTGTCGCGGGAGTTGGCCTGGGTTAACCATGACACCTAGGATTGGACGGGTCGTCGTAAACAAGGGGGTCTTTTTCGTCTCCATAAGAGGCAGTAAAAACCTTGGGGTCTACACAATGGCCGCCTGTTTGTATTCGCCCCGTGTCTCCATTGTTCCCTTTCTTTTTCCGTCCTCACCCCCCTCTTCCTTCTTTTCCGCTGTCTATACAAGGAACCTTTTTTCTCTCGTTTCTGTTACCGCATCCATGGAAATGAGCTCATGAGTCAGGGCATGAATAATAAATATGCCTTTGAGCGTTCTCGATAGTCGGACTCGCATCAAATTAGGGGTCCTCTTTCCTCTTTCGCAAGACACGAGGAATGCCGGGAGCATGCGCAAGTTCTCTGCATTCCTACTTTTTTTTTGCTGCTTCCCCCTGGAGTTGACAAGGGGGAATCATTCACGGTTCCTGTCACGCGGGTCCTGGTCGGCCGATCTTCTTGGGGCTAACTTTCAACTGTTCGCCCTGGAAAGTCGCCCTTATGAACGAGATGCCGGAAGGTCCAGAAAAACCTCGCCGCCACACAAAGACCTGAGAGAATAGAAACGAAAAGGGACAATACCAAGGAGAGTGGGCTCTTTCACCCGTTATCTTTCCCCTCAACCCCCGACAGAGTTTTATTTGTCCACCTCTCTTCCTTTTTGTTTTACGCTGATGGCCATGCTCGAGGTCCCCCTGGCCTCATTTTCTCTCCGGGCTTTTATTCATAATCCACCTGGTCCGGGGCTCTATCATTAGCGAGTGCACAATATTATAGGTTGTTGCATCGAGATTTGTAGTCTCGCCGCTGCGTCATCCCCTGATTCTCACCATTTGACAGGTGCTTATTTTCGCGAGCCCTTCTTACTTCTGCCCGTGTAATTGCGGCACTTGGGCATCCCGTGCTCTAATTTCGGGCAATATTCCCCCATCGAAGTTTTTTATGACCTCAAATGAAGGTGCCAAGTAGTGAATCGCGAAAATTACTCGCCTCTCCAATTGAAGGAGAGGGGAAGGGAGGCAGCGAAAGAAAGGAGAAATTGAAGGGATCCTCAGCGTTCGGTCTATGATTACGTGGAGAGGAAGAAGAGGAGGAAAAAAAAAAGTGCTGTTGCCTGAGGGTTAAGGACTAGGGTCTGCTATTACGAAGCCTTGTTTCAGGACCAGCATCTTTCATATTGGGCCTCTATCCGCCTTCCTATCCCCTATCATCATCCCCCGCGCGCAAACGGCCGAGGAATTTCCGAAAAATGCTTCTCTTGGAATCAGATAAGGGGAAGGAAAGAGAAAAGGGGGCCGGAGGGGGTTCTTGCTTTCGAAATGGGGCCGGGGCCATAAATCCGCTCCCTGCCGGGTTTGTTTGAGCAAGAAGACACGGTCCCGCTAATTGATCGAATGTTTAGGCTTTTCCCTAGCCTTGATCCTTTTTTTTGGTCTTGTTTTACAGACGCGATAAAGCCGGCAACGACGACGCCATCGGACGCGGCTTTACAACAGGATCTGTGGTTCAAGGCAGCGACGATCGCAGTCCCCATCGCCGGTGGTTTCATCTTGATCATTTTGGTCCTCTTGGCGGTTCGGATGCTCCGAAAGGACTCGAAAAGACAGAGGAATAATGTGGACTTGGAACGCAGGGCCTACCCCTACCCTAGCCCCTACTACCATCAGCAGGAACTCCTGCTAGGGGACGAACATGTGAAGGAACCGTGTTTTTATCATCATCATCACTGCCATCACTGCTGCCCTGGTGAAAGTGTGAAGAACCCAAAAGTTGCGGGTGTGAATTTGCAGGAAGGAAACAATCCCTATTTAAACGACAACATGGGGATGGGTTCCGTGATTCGATGGAGTGGGCATTCCTCCCAACCCCCTCCTCCTTCACCCCCGGCTTCCGTTTGAGAGAATCCGGGGAATTCACCCGCATTGTGATCCATTTCCTCAGTGTTTTCTCATATGTGATATCCATGTGGAGGGGACTTCCGCCTCCTCCATTAATTTATACCAGTCAAAGATATGCGAGTGTTTGTATGAATGATATAATAAAAAGTCAGTCACTTGTATTCGTTGTGCCCTGATGCTCACTTTCTCTTTTCCTTTCGGTGGATCGAAACAACCGGATCGACTGTGAAAAAGAGGCAGCAGCTGAGCCACGGCGAGTCACTCACCTGTCGTAAATCAAGGGACACTCGCCCTCGTAAATCATCTGATGAGACGTAAAAGCAGGTCATAAAACGGAAGAACAAGCCCCTAATGCCCAAGACCGGCCTAGACCACGAGGTCAGTCCAATGAGCCGAGCAGCAACAGGCTCGCAGACCAGTCTTCCCCATCTTCTTTCTCTCCCTTACCTTGGAAAACCCATACGTAGACTTTGTGTCCCATGTATGAACCATCCCTCGGTCGCATACAGCGCCTACGTTGCTTCGAAAATTCCAAAGGGATTCGGGGTCGGCCCCTGAACGCAAAATATTTAACCTGGTGACCTCGAAGACATGCCCTTTTCCCTCTTAATTCCATTAATGATAAGCAATAGACGAATCAAGGCCCAAAGGTGGTTTGAAAATGAATTCGTGCAATTTTCAATACGTGCTCCATTAGATTTTATGTAACATTCACTCACGGGAGATGGCCCCTGCGCCATCCATTTTCACCCCAAGTAACTTAATGCTAGACAGCTGCCATAGAAGGAGCGAGTATTGCTAACATGCCTCTGTTCAAGAAGTTCTACTCGATGCTGGTATTGAACCAGAATGGCGGCTGGAGAGTATCTGATCGAATAATCAGTCATGACTACTCGTGCATTTATCGACGTCGTCTGACAAGGACTTTCTAAACCAGACTTTTTGTTATACATGGAGCAGAGAGGACAGGTACAGCTTCTTTGACTCTTCATACCACTCTTCAGGCACTCGATGGACTTTCCTCTGAAACGTCATGCCACCTCTCATACGAACCGATAAGCTTACTTTCATATTCTTATCGTTAGATGTCAGAAAGTCATAACTAAGGACAGAAAGGCACCGACTCTCCATACACGCGCTTACCGTGCTATACAAGAAAGCAATGAATTCATGCGAGTAGCACTCACTGTCTTGAAACTTCGTTAACATCCTGAGATCGTTCACTGGCGGCAAGCCCAATGATTTGATGTTTTGGGGTTATTTAACATGGCGCGGCGTTTCCCATATCACCAGTTGGCTACAATCGAATTCAAGACTCCAAATGATACAAATATATAGGTTTCTTCAGGACATATTTGAATGAATTTAATATCGCTCCTTGTGAATACCTTGGCGATATGGCACAAGAACTGAAATGGAAATTTTGAAACTTTTTGTCTCGCCTCCTTGGTGGTTACTTCCGGGCCTCAACACATCTCAACACCACCATTCTTCTAATTTTCTCAACATAATTCCGACCATTGAAGATCCACTACTGTTGAATTTCATGAGCCACCCATGACCAACAGCATAGTGGGTCCATTAGCAAACGTTGCATGACCGAATTTCTTATATAGTTATTGGGATACAAATACAGCATCCTAGCAGTACTTCTAGTGTTCTTGAAAACAATGAGGTCTCCTTAAACATCTAATTACCCTTTCACAGCAAATGCAATTATTATCCATCACATTTGAGCTAAATGGTAGGATCTAATTGCACCTAGAAACTTGAGCCACACATATTCAGACACCTGCAGGAGTAAAATCATTGCTCTCATCATGAAGATGGTTAAAGGCTTGTCATGGCAGTATAAGGAAACATGAATCTGGGTACATAACACATTTTTGTAGCATATTAAGGAGTTTTCCCTACTTCTCAAATATATTATAACAATTAATAAGGTCAAAATTCTTCAAGAAAATCAATAAAATACTCAAGCCTTGTCGATTAGGAATAAAACTGGGTAATTAAGTATGAAATTAGGATAGCTGCACACAATATATGTTATCCGAACACCACCCCAAATAAGATGGATAGTACTTTTGTGTAATCACTGAAATCAGTGGATGGCAGTCTTTGTGACCATCATGTTTGTTTTCTGTAAGAACAATCACCAATTGGTTTCATGTATTCCCAGCAAAATCTTTGAGAAAGTATGTTCATTCATACAAGAATGGTTTTTATTGAAAGAAAGTGAATCCCCAAGCATGATCTGGGAAACACACCAGTATGCAAAATTATGACTTGCAGCTGCAACAGATTTTTCCAGGGTATACAGAAATGACCATGTGGATTTTGCAGTTGCTACCTGATTAAAGGAAAGATAGAGAAAAAAAAAAAGAGTAGAAATTGGAGCCATCCACTGTAATGTCACTGGAGATACTCCATTTGGATGAGGAGGATCAAGAATCACAGCGTCATCAAGTTGCGTTCTCTTACACGGAATCAATGGTGGTGACTTTAATCATATGACCACACATGGGCTCAATCATTCTGTCACTCTAGGTCAGGCATGTCCTCATCATCCGAGTCTTCATCCTCATCCAGGTCTTTCAGGTCAGGTGCATCCCCTGCACCTGTGCTTAACCCACCCATGTTCCGCATCATCTATTGCAGTAGAAAAAACATAGAAATTAGTTTTAAAGTAAAAAAAGTTGCCAAAAAAAAGTTCAAGGAAAGGAACCTCTTCAAAGCTGGGGTTGTCCATGCCCATGTCATCATCAGAATCATCTTCATCCCTCCAATGATGAAAATCCACCTTCAACCAGTGATACTTGACTTTCTCCTTCAAGAGATGTGGCCAGTATGGGCCTACTTCTTTCTTGGTCAAAAAGAACTCTACGACTCGGTCTCGCACGAAGTGCTTTGACTCCTAAATGAAAGTTAATATTTTTCAAGATAACTTCCAATTTCCTTTGCCATCAGGGCACCAAAAAAAAAAGCAAAGACCTCAGAGAGAATACCTGAAAACATGAAAAAAAAAATCTACTGAGCTTGGGAACACTGAACCATAGTATCATGGTAAATTAATTAATCAGCAGGTAACTATGGATTACATTTAAAAGTTGTGTTCAATATTAAAAATCGATTTCTATATATGCAACCCAAGTTATATGGCTAAATCTGTTGTAGCAATAAGAAATTCATTTTTCCCCCCAAAATTTCCACATGTCAATGACAATGATGTAGTTTCCACTATGACAAAAGTTTACAGATGCCTTATCAATAAAATGATGGATAGCAAGGCATATTGCATATCTTCATTTGTGCAGAAACATTAGACACCCGAGTGTTTTTCATCAGGCCAAAAAAAAAAGAAAAAAAGTTTCCCAGTGACTTAAAAGTGAATGCATCATCAACTCTCAACCAAATAATGGCAATGTGTCTTAGATTACAGCTGCTATATGAGGCCATCAATTACCAACTTGCAGCCATCACATAACACATTGACATCATTTGATCCCTTGATGTCATTCTTGGTGATAAACCATTCATTGTAGGGTTTAAGTTGGCAAATTCTTTTTGAATGGACTAAGAGGTGCACAATACTGTATAAGAATGGTTTCAATCTCAGGACAATGCATATTATGCAAAGAGCATCTGTGAACTTGATATAGTGGAAAAAATGCAATGGTAAAAGCAATAAGTTGAAAAATGTACTAATTCAACTAGTTTCCATTGCAATAACAGATTTTACCTAGCAATGCATTAGGATTGCATTAACAGAAATTGGCTTTACTTACTTTAACACCCCTAATAGTTAATAGGTTTAATTGGTACAGATGAGTACATCAGTAAAATTATTAGGTGTGCATAAAATGAAGAATGATAGGCACCCAGGTTTTAGTGAAATGGGGAAGCACATGAAAAAACTTCTCATATGATTGATCACAGTTCCTGAGGTAGATAACTTATGGAATTTGGACTGGGTTACTGGTGCAATGAATAAAAAGCAGTGTAGATATATTGTGCTTAGGTTTTTCTTAGGTATTTGAATCAATTCCTTACAAATGATTATTTCTAAGTCTAACAAGCTTGAAGATACAAGGCAAATCCTGCACTGAACAGAGGCACAGATGAGTAACCAAAGTATAGGGATAACAATTAATGGAAAATTTTCTTAGCTACTGAAATCTCACTCAGGGTTCCTCAAGTTCAGTTTATGGTCAGCTTTTGCTTCTTATATATATAAATGACTTACACATAAATACATTTTGGAAAATAAAATAAATTTGCTAATCAGCCTAATGGACTTTTGTTATTGAAACTCTGGTAAACCAGAGGAGAGCTGTAGAGGTCCTCTGTTGAATAAGGCAAAGAAAGGCTAGTGAAGTTTAATAAAAGTAAATCCATGTTATTGCATTTTGGGTACAAACACCTTTAACATTTGGTGTTCTTCTGGGGAAAAAAGTTTATTAATAAAGGAGTGAGAGAAAGTAAGTTAGATCCCAATGTTATGGAATGGCAGGAAGGTAGGATGATGAGAAACAAACACTCAGAGGCAGTTCCATCTGCAAAATTTGCAAATGCCACATGCATGGAAAGATATAATCCCACTGGCTGGGACATCTGAGATCTGTTGTGTATCATGCATGATTGAATACTGGACAGTTTTGGCTAGTCATCTAACATGACATTTCCTAAATGCAAGCAAACATATATAAAAGGGCCATATTGGGTAAATAATAGCACCCAGTCATGGCCATTTCATATGAACAGTATGGTTTAGCCATCAGATCATCATAAGAAACTTTATACTAACCCCTTTGGATTGGCATTCTCAAGAGTTCAGAAACTTATCATTCAATGATCATTCAATTCTAAATTTAATAACATGAAGATGCTTGTGGATTCCATCACATCACTTGTTAAAAGCTTAACACATTTGCTGTCATAGATGGCAATAGCAGTTTTCACAATTCCACTTAACATAGTTCTCAAATTCTTCAACATGTGTTGCCCAAATGCTACAAAACATTTGGGAAACTTAAAGGAGACTTAGAAGAAGTGAGGCAGATATCTATTTTCATTGAAAGCTTGACCAGAAATTTATTTTCTTTGCTTGAAAAAGCATATATATATATATATATATATATATATATATTTTTTTTTACAGTAGCAAATGGCAGTGAATGTGTTAATTGGTCTTTGGTTTCAGTTGTCTCACTCAACGGGTATTGGCAATGAAAGAGAATAATAATTTAGTCTGGACAGGATTTATTATTATAAAACTTAGTGCAGGAATAAAACTTTAACAAAGAATGGAGTAGCAAAAAACTTGATATCAAACAGACAAAACAGAAGTCCAGAGGTCCAACATTAATTTTGAAGTACATGGCCTCTGTAACATATGAATAGAAAAGTTTCTCTATACTAAAAAAAAAAAATATATGCTGATCTCACAGCCATAGGCAAAGGAATGTTCCAGCAAATAGGCACAAACATCCTAGAAAGAGATGTTTCTCTATGCTTTCCTATTTTGAAATTTTGCAAGATATGCAACTTGGAAAAAAGTAGGTGGGTGGAGGGAGAGGGCAAAGGAGATCTTTTGCTTCCCCCAACCTAGTTGTCATGCTTTCCATGCAATAATGCACCAGGGGTGGGTTGCTTGTACCTAGACAAGGATAATTCTGAGTTCTTGAACCCACAACAAATCAGTTCTTGATCAACACTGCCTGGAATTTGTTTCAATGCTGTAATTATCCCTGTGAATCAAGTATGGGAGGAAAACAGAGACCAAAAAAAGGTGACACAGATTTTTTGCCAATATCATGTCAAATAATACATGTTCAAGCTCTCATCATTTGCATGCTCAGTGTCATCACATTGGAGATCTCATAGTGGTTAGTGGCTATGCATTCTAAAAAACATCACCAAGTGACACCCAGAGCCAACAATGTCACTCAATGGTAATGGCTGGTCAATTGCACCTAATTTCAACTGAAGATACTGATCACATGTAGAGAAAAGGGTATTTTAATTGAGGAAGGACTTGGTGCCACCATTCCTAAAGCCATCATCACAGTTATTGATGGACCATTGATCAGCATGTAATATAAGTCTTTATTTTTTGGATATAACAGTTGCTGACTCATATTTCCTGATATTACCTTATAAAATCATTATTAGCTTTCAGTCAATATATATTTCAATTCATCACTATACAATGAGATTCGCATTTCCTTCCCAATTTATCTGAACTTACAGAAAATATAAAAACACTGACAAAGATTCCTGAGCTGAGATTCTAGTTCAAGACAAGAAAAAGCTAGGTTTACTTTAGCCTACCTCAGGGTTAATCGCTGCATAGAGGTTAAGGGTGACTTCATGCTCCTTGCGATCTGTTCCACCAGTTCCCTTGAAGTAGACCTTATCAGCCTCTATCTTGATCTCTGGTTTCTTACAGTCTTCTAAGCATATTGTAATGAAGACCATGGTACGTCTCTGAGCCCATTCAACTGGTGGCGGAAGAGGGCTGCAATCAGAAAATAAAGTTATTAACCAAATCAATATCAACATGACCATAAGCATAAAAAGAAAATTTTTTTATGCATGGAAGGATCAGATTAGACATAATATGAAATGGGAAGAACATAATTGGCACTCATCTTTAACTAACAGCAAAGAACATATTATAACTTAAAATCAGTGGCGTATTTTGGCTGAGGGGTTAGGGGGGACGGGGCGACAGCGTGGGGGTGCCAAACCCCACTCGAGTGATATCAGTCGGGGAAAATTATTACCTCCAAGGGGGCACCAAGCCTGTCCCAGGGGAGCCAGGGGGGGCAGCTGCCCCCCCCATAAAATATGCCACTGTTTAAAATGAAATATTTATGCAAGATATGAATATAATGCAAATAACTAAAGGACTGGGACCTTAAGGAACTGAAGTAAGGAAAAAAAGATCCAAGCAGGGATTTGATGCAATATGCAATTTTTGCAATAGTATGAGGAAGTCTCATGGAAAGAAAAAATAGCACCCATTCTTCATAATTTGATATAACATGCTATTCAGAAGCATTGAAAAACTGGCACTAACAATAAAATTAAAATAAAAAACTATCAAATTAAATGGTTAAAGATATTAAACTCGTGCAATCAGGGTATTATCGATTACGATTACCCTATATTATTTTAAAGAGGAACTAGTTACCAATACCAGTTTATCTTGCTGTTTCAGTACTTTTTTTTTCCCATTTAGCATGTTTGTTTGTCAGACAGGCAGAGACATGACAGGTATTGCTAGAAGCCAAATGACTTACAGGTGGAAACTACTCCCATTCAAATTAGAGTTCAACTTCGTCATGTGATAGGTTAAATCAGAGCATAGAAAGTCATCAGTGACTACACTTGTCAGGCATCACTTGGTCTGCCATGACTCACCCAAAAGGTCCAGACGCAGACTACTTCTATAGACAAATCTATGCTTGGTTTTCCCTTGATGCCAGGGCCTTGGTAATCCACTGATTACACTGTTTTTTTTTTTTAATAGTGAATTTGTGCCCCCTACCCTGGGTAGTTGAGAATAGAGAAAGCACTACTTCCAGAAGATCTGTTCAATCAATGATCCAAAAAACCACTCATCTGGAAGATGTCACTGCCTGCTATTGATGAAAGTGCTCCAATGGTGGGTAGTACCTCAATACAAAAATAATGCCAAGTCTATTTGCCTAGGCATGCAAATTTAAACTTTTCCACAGTTTGAGATTGGTCTACTCTTTGTTTAGACTGTTGCAAACACCAATGGTTGCCAGTACCTGTGATATACAGTTATTAAAAGGCTTCATTAAGAAATGATGAAAGTAAAACTTTCAGCCTAGCCCACCTTCACCTCCACCACCCTGCCCCCTTCCAGTGACAAAATGACATGTG